TTTCAAGGAGCAAGTCTTTTATAATTGGCTTTTGTGATACATTTCCAATATTTAAAATTGATTCTCACTTTTTTCTATAATAATTTTCTGAGAGGCTACTTTTTTAAAGTCATGTTTAATTTAATGATTATATACAATCAAGTTGAGGTATTCATATACAATGTGAGAAAGAGAAAGAGACCATTCACTGAAAGCTTTCTATGTGCCTGAAACTATACTAAGCACTTAACATATGCTATTTAATTTACTTCTCAAAGCTGAACTATGAGATGGGTCTTATCATTCTCAATTTACTTATGAAAAAAAAAAACTAAGGTCCAGAGTAGCTAAGTAATTTGTCTAAGATTATATGTTGGTAGGTAACTAAGCTTGAATTCTAAGCTTCCTTTAATTTTAGGCATAATCAAATGCTTACCTTGACAATTAAGAAAACATACCTAGCAGGGTACAATAGCCTGAACTTATAGTCCCAGCTATTCAGAAAGCTGAGGCAGGAGGAGCACTTGAGCCCAGCCTGGGCCACTTAGGGAGACCCTATCTCAAAAACCAAACAAAACCACCTCCACCACTAAACCAAACCACACCAAAACAAAACAAAACCCTCAATAAAAGAATCACCCATGTTAGACTGATTCTAATTCCTGGATTTTCCAATATAAACTGAAAGCTACACAAAATTAGTTGCATAGAATTATTATTTACAACCTGTTTTTTATAGATCAACTGATCACACATCTTGGCAACAAATATTATATATATTAAAATCTAAAATATTGTTCTGATGTTCATGATCATCACATTCTGTTAAAAATGCCCTTTTGGTATAAATCATTATTAAATTATTACAATCATTAGTAGCAAACAATTGACCTAGAAAAATGAATGCATTGCACATTTTTACCTAAAAAGTAAAATGTATTGTCAGAGGATCAGAAGGCAGAGACAGGAGGACTAACAAGTTCAAAGCCAGCCTCAGCAACTCATCGAGGCCCTAAACAACTTAGCAAGACTCTGTCTCAAAAAATAAAAAGGACTGGGTATGTGGATCACTGGTTAAGTGCCCTGATTCAATTCCCAGTACCAAAAAAAGTAAAATGTATTGGAATATAATTGGAATATAATCCCTTGATGATATCTATAGGAGGGGGTGGTGCTATGGCTTGACTAGAGTTGTGACCAACACAAATATTTGAATCTTCATTTTTTCCCCTAGCCAAGAGATTTTTACACTTCGAGACAATGATGAGATTCAATGAGAGCTGGAAGATTATAAAAGAGGAAGGAGGAAAATTCCTTGGCACAAAAGCATGTTTTCAGGCTATCACTGTTAGAAAAAAATAAAGTCAGTGAAAGTTGAGAGATCTGAAACTAATGACCTCACACTGTCCTCTGCACATTCTCCTAGGGATGCACAAGCCCCAGTTTGTATTCCATGTTTCTAATGAATTTTTACTCCATCTTAAATCTCGATTCCCCATTAAATTTTAATTGTTCAACCTTTCATAAAAAGAATTAAATATTAACACTTGAGTGTGCTCCATCCATTACTTTTCATAGCAATGTCACCTGCTGGCCTGAGTTTTATCATCTTACTCTTCCTGTATTTGCGGCCTTTTCTTCTACTCTTCCAAGGAGAACTCATGTATTCTCCCCTCCCCCAATATCATCCTCTCTTCCTCATCTCCATGCCTCCACCTTCATTTCGCACTCCAACTAAGCAAACATGGGAACCCCCTCTTGCCCCTGAAGACTAGGTTCATCCTCCAAACCCTAGGTCATTTTCCTCCAGCCTTACCAGAAAATTCAGCCAGGAGTAACGCCAGCAAGTCCCGATGTTCTTACCATTCCTTTTTATCTTTATTACTTACTACTCCTTTTTTTTTGCTTTTTGGTAGTGCTGGGGATTGAACTGAGGGCCATGCCCATACTAGGTAAGCACTCTACCAACTGAGCTATATCCCCAGCCCTACTTACTACTCTTAATAGCATTTTATATGTGTGTAGATGTGAACAGAAATTTTCCCTTTTCACTACAACATACTGGGAAGCAAATTATTCATGTTTTCTCCCTGCCACCAGGCAATACTCCAATAACAAGGGATGGGGGGAGCCACATAAATAATAGGTAAGACCAACAATGTGACATAAAACCAAAATGATAGGGCTGGGGTTGTAGCTCAGCGGTAGAATGCTCACCCAGCATGTGTGAGGCCCTGAGTTCAGTACCACATAAAAATAAATAAATAAAATAAAGGAATTATGTCAGACTACAACTAAAAAATAAAATATTAAAAAAAAAAAGATAGAACACCTCTAAGTCTCAAAAATAGTTTTTAGAAAAAAATGAAACTGTGGTTTCAGTTATAGGGTATTAGAGTAGAAATGGATCTTCCAGTACCAGTACAACCCCTCATTTACAGATGGAAATTCTAAGGCACAAAGAGACACTTCCTTTGAATTTCAGAGCTGGGAAGTAGAGGACACAACCGAGCAGGCTTTGCTGACACAGAGACGGAAGCTCTTTCCAGTATCTTCTATTGCCCTACACTGTGTGCTTATTAAAAGGGACATGCTTTACACATGGATTATTTAGGGAGCCTTAATTTGCAATAAAGTGTTCATCTACCATAAAGAATAAAACTATTAAGCCATAAATCTAAAACCAATATTCTCACCATAATAAACATTAAATAAACAATAACACAAATAAAAACCCACAGTGAGTTCCTCAAGAGTGGCAGCCATGCCTCCTCAGTGCTCAGATGGTGCCCTGCACACCATGGTCATGAAACCACCAGGGTAGGTGAATCCTCAGTGTGGAGCCATAACAGATTCCTCAGTCCTCACCAATTGTATCAGAATCTTGAGGCTGAAATATAGTTATCATTTTTAAAAATCAATATGCTTAATAATAATTCTGATACAGTATGAGAATTAAGAATCACTTGATTAAAGACTAAAGTTCTGTCAATTAGCTCTCCACCTCTTCTTTTCTTCATATTTTCTGTCCAAGTTGGCAGAATTCTTTCAGCCTTAAAACACAAGACACTAACTCAATGCAAAGGAGAATGTGCTCAAGTCAGGAGTGACACCAGCCTCGGGCATGAGCACAGTTTGGTCTCAGTAACTTTTAGATTCCTTGACCTTTTCTAAATTCCTGTCCTATTCAATGTCCTCTCGTGTCCATTTCCAAGTTTAAATTCCATGGTTGATTATCACAACCACTATGTGGTTCTCTCTGTCAACTATCTTTTCCTCTTGCTCTCACATGGAGATCAAAGACAAAACCATAACTCCATTGGCTTGTCTTCCCTTCTCCTACTTAGACTGAGCACCATAAATGGAGAAAAATATACAATCCTGCCGACAGGTCTTACTTTAACTTAACAACCATAAACCTTGGGTAAAGCTGTATTTTGTCCAGCAACCAGACAACTCCATTCACCTACTCCCATTCCTGGTTCCCTCAACACTGGGCAAAGGGCTATTCACTATTGCCAGGTCATATCTTTATAACTTCAAGACCTTAGATGAACAGAATCTATTCTAGCAATTGCAGCTTGAAAAATCCCAAAGTAAAATGCTTTTAGGTCACATACTACCCTTCAGTCAATTACTTACACCCAGAAGATATCATCTTGATAAAGGACAGCAGAAACCATTTCATGCATCATGGGGGAAATGTGACATCTGAGAGAATTACCCTGAGCTGGCAGCTAACCAATTTACTTCATTTAGCTACTCCAAAATCATGAAGATAGGACTGTCTGCACACTGAACTGCCAAAGAGAACACTAATACCATAGGCACTGAGTATTCAACATATCCATCAAAGCTTAGGGGCAGGGATAAAGAAAATATCACCTTCCTTCTTTTCTTCTTTCCTCACACATCCAATCCAATACCAAGTCCAACAGTTCCTAGTCCTAAGATTTTCTCCAATCTGGCCCCACTATCAAAATTTGTTTTTCTGTGGTTTATCTCTGTACTTACTACCCAGCACATTATAAAATGGAATTGCTAGAAATAGCCTTGAATCACATCATTATTACAACTTTCTTCCACAGACCCAAGGAATCCAGTGGAATCTGATCTTCTGGGCCTTTCTTTATTGGTGGAAACATCCCACCCAAGGAACACACTGAAAAAAGTGTAGTGGCCATGATCTGTATAACCCAAAGACTCCATTCATCTGCAGTGGGGTTCGTCTCCAAGGCCCACGCTTTTGAAAACACAAAGAGCTCAAGTGCATGGTACCTCTAGAGATGAAAATAAGGGAGGCAAGTTTCATACATAGAAATGGAGAATTTTGCTAAAGAAAAACACTGATTTGAATCAATTTTGGTAGAAAAATAAAGTCTAAAGACTTTACATTTGAGTTATTTCTCTTATGCAGTAATTACCATTTCAAGGTTAAAATATGTGCTCTTTCTTGGAACTGGATATTTAAGCCATGTATTATTGCCTATAAATATATCAGAGTCACAAATGCTTTGGTCAAGTCTACCCTCCTTCAGTTGACTGATGATTTCATATGTTCTAGGAATATTTTTGTCTTTTGGCATGATGCCCTAGACCATATGGTACAACACACTGACAAGCAAAAAGGGTAGGACTAGTTTGAAACATATACACATATATATTTATATATATGACTATACATGTATATGTATACATATATACACATACATATATGCATGTACATACACACTGCATATAAGTAAAAGAAGTAGCATGTAAGGCTACAAAGAAACAGAAGGACAGAGTTACATATTCTGTATACAATACAGTGCTGAGATTCTTTGCCCACGCAAAAAAAGTTATTCAACATCCAAAACAAGACTAAAAGTTCATATTAGACATATACCGGTAACTACCATGCTTTGCCATAGCAAATATTTGAACTGTGTGTAATACTTTCTCATTCAATATTTAATGTTGCTTATCTAGGTAAAAGAAGTAGCATGTAAGACTGTTATTATCATAAGAACAGCAATGACATATGCAATAGTTTGCATGATCCATCTCGGAAGAATTGTTAAAACAGGAAACACCCTAATCTCTCTTTAGCCAGGTGCAGTGGTGCACACCTATAATCCCAGAAGCTCAAGAAGCTGAGGCAGGAGGACTGTCCCTTCAAAGACAGCCTAAGCAACTGAGAGAGGCCCTACTCAACTTGGTGAGCAACCTGTCTTAATTTTTTTTTAAAGGGCTATGGCTGTGGCTATGTGGTTAAGCCCCTCTGCGTTCAATTCTCGGTACCCAAATAAATAAGTATCTTTAATTAATTCCCAAAGGGTGAAAACATCCTTCCCCTTTGATTCTAGGTCCCTTCATGTGGTCTTCGTTTATAAAATGGTGGGTCTGGAACAAATTTTACAAATTTTCAGGAGGATTAAGATGTGACTCTAAACCTGGCCACTATCTTTGTGTCACATGGCAGGTTCCTGCATCATCTATCCTTCTCTCCACTGGATCTGAATGTAGAGCAGTCAGGACACTCAGAGAACCCCAATCCTCTGCTGGGCCAGTAACAATGGATGTAAAAGCCAGTATGCAGGATAGGGAGAAAGAGGTCCGTTTTGTTCATGATCCATCAGCTGCGGCTGACATGCAGTCTAGTGGGAGAGGAAGGCAGCAGACTTTTTTTTTTCTGTCTTTATTCTTAGACTTATTATAGTCTTTGTTCAAAAAGGTCAAATGTATATATTCATGTGTTAGTTAAGTTTCTACTAGAAATGCTTAAAAGTTGCATTGGACCTTAATATATTCATTTTTACCAAAGGGGAAATGTATATGTCTGAACATTTTTGTAAGAAGATCTAAAAAAGAATAAGAAGAAAAGAAGAAGAAGAAGAAAACTGTGTTAAGAGATTGGACTTGAAGTCAAATACTATGAATTTAAACTCAAACTGTAGTAACAGCCTAGCTGTATGATGTTGGGAACATTATTTAAATGAGATTTACTTTCTACTTCTAATAAAATGAGGACTATTATTGTGACAGAAACATAAAGCCACTTGCTTTATGTCTGGTAGACATATATGAAATGCTCGAAAGGGTTAGTGGTCAATATTACAAGTCAAAACAAATCTATAGTACTATATACTCAAAATATAAAAATAGAAACTGGAGTCAACAATATTGGCATAGCTAACTTTAAAGTGATATCTGTCATCCCAGGATGTCAATTACTTACATCCTACCCTCAAAGGAAAGTATTACCAAAATGCAACACCACAACACTAATTCCTCACTGGATGTGATCCAACAACAAGCCATTGGCTTCCTGAGATAGATACAATGGGTTGTGTGTTAAGAATTCTGAGGCACAGTTAGTAAAAAACATTGCTTTCCAACAGAACAACTTTGCTTTTTTAATTTTTTTTTCTGTTTGACAGAAAATTTGGTTTCTTTAAAAGTTATGAGCTCTCCTCCTACCTGTTTAAATGTACTTAGGACCAAACATATATATGATTTGTATATGATTATCAAAAATGGTCTCAGCCCTTTCACAAATGAGTTCTGTTTTGTTAAATAAAGCACTCTTTCCATCTATGCCGGGGAGTGGAACTTTACAGTTATACAAATACAGTACCTAAATCTGAAAGTTAATAATATATATTTTTTTAACTCTGAATTTTCAAAAACAGGAATTTTGTGGGTTAATTCCACTCCAAAGCTATTAATCTTTCCACTACTGCATTCGATCAGGTTTATACCTCCAATTATAAATATTCATATGAGTTAAGCACCTGGTCAAGTAGTATTCACTTTTTAATTGAAGTAGCAGAAATTTTGATATGTATGATATTAGGTATCATTTTTGTATGCATTTATATAATTTGATATCAATATTTACAACCCTAAAATACTCATATTGGAAAAAAGTTAACAATTTCTGCATCAAAATGCCTGTTCATTCACTCATCCATCCTTCATTCTTTCTACAAATATTCACTGGGCACCTACTCAGTGCTAGATATTGTGCTAGGTGACAAATCAAATAAATCTTCTGAAGTTTCTTCTTCATTAATATTAACTGTTTAGGATGAAGTTGTAAGGAGAAATGACAACGAATTTAAATCGTATTACGGTTACACTTTTGTTAAAAATTCTATTAATTTTTATATTCAGCAATTATAGAACTAATTAATCCTTTTCATTATTCTATAGACAAAAAAAAATCCCATCCCAAATATTTCTGTTAAAAAAAAGCCAAAGCCATAAAAATGAGTACTTCAGCTATAAAAATGCATGATATAATTGATGCCATCTTCTCTTATTCAGCAAAGTAGCTTTCTATATTTCTGTCTTTGCCTTTCACAGAACAGTAACCTGGAGTACTTTCAGTGGGACTTTGCCTTGATAAAGCACAAAAATATTCTCCTACAAGCAGCTATTAATCTTTCCTCTACAGCCGATGGCTCTGTCTATTCCACCCTTTTGGGGGGACACCAGTGAAACATAACTCCCCTTTCCCCAATTCCCTCAAATCCTCAAATTCATCAAAGTCTTCTCCTCCAGGCTGCAGCTGGTATAAGTAGGTATGAACCAATTGTATGATAGAAGCCATCTTCCTGAAAAAATCATGGGTCTCAAGGCCTATATCCTATAACCTATTTTCAAAACATTTTTAAGATTCATGGAGCTAGACACATAATAATCCCTCAAAACTTAATTATGAATTGATGGATTAAAAAAGAGACATGGATAATGTCTCATAAGGAAGTGAAGTCTTCCTCTAGAGGTTTGGATGTGAAGTGTCTCCCAAAAGCTCACATTTGAGACAACGTAAGAAAGGTCAAAGGAGAAATTATTGGGTTGTGAGAGACTTCATCCACTCTGACTTCTCTTTCAGTTTGAATGACCCTTGTGATTACACTGGGCCCACCCAATAATCCAAGATAATCCCCATTTTAGGATTATCTGATTGGCAACTTTCAGTCCTTCTGCAACACTAATTCCTCTTTGCCATGTAACCTAACCTATCCACAGTTCTGAGGATTAAGATGTGAATATATCTGGGGTTGAGGGGCTTTATTCTGTCTACCACAGCTCTAATGAACCTAGAACCAAAAACCCAGAATAGCGCTACAGTTTAAGCAAATTAATTAATCTCCTATGGTTTCAGTTTTTGTCTTTTGAAAATAACTTAATAAGAACTATTTATTGAATGGGAGTGAAAATTACATGAGACAAAATAAGGAAAACATCTAGGTCCAGAGCCTTGAACACAGTTTAACAGTGGTTGTTTTTTTCCCTTTTCCCCAATCTTCTTTTCCCTAAAATTATCCTCCCTGATCTTCTTTTCCATAAACAACTTCTCCCTGATCTTCTTTTCCTTAACCTTCTCCTGCCTAATCTCTCCTCCCTAACCTCATTTTTCTCTGAATCACCTCTATAAATGCCCCCTGTTCCTATGGATAGGTAGAATCACAGCTTTTGGGACAGTTGTCCCGTGTTTCTCCTTTGCTAGCAAAGCAATAAAACTTCTTCCTTTTTCTCAAGACCTTGTCTTCATTATTGGATTGGCATCGAGGACGAGGACCAAGCTTTTGGTTACAACAGTAGCACCTCAATATCGTTCATTTCCATTTTCCTTGCCACCTTCTCAAAAATCATCCTTGCACTGAGTGGAGCCAAGTTTTGGATCTAGGCTCACTTTAGTTCCATGGTCCTGTTCTTTGCCTTACGCAGCACTGCTTTCTGCAAAATAAATAAATAAATAAAAATACTGCTTTCTCCATGCTGAAAGACTGAACAATGGATGACTTCACATACGCAAATTGCCTTTTATGGTCTGCATGTCTGTGTCCCCTCAAACTTCACATGTTGGAATCCTGACTTCTAAGGTGATAGTATTATGGGGTAGGACATGTGGGAAGTAACTAGGTCATGAGAGTGGAGCCCTCAGGAATGGGATTAGTGCCCCAATAAGAGACCCAAGAGGGCTTCTTTGTCCCTTCTACCTTGGGAGGACACAGTGAAAAGAGAGTCATATATGAGAATGGGCCCTCACCAGATATGGATCTCCTGGAACCTTGGTCGTGAACTTCCTGGTCTCCAGAACTAAGAGAAGTAAATTTCTATTGTTTAAAAACCAATTTTTAAGCTGGGGATGTGGCGCGCTCACCTGGCATGTGCACATGTGCAGGGCGCTGGGTTCCATCCTCAGCACCACATAAAAATAAAATAAAGATGTTGTGTCCACCGAAAACTAAAAAATAAATAAATAAATATTTAAAAATTCTCTCTCTCTCAAAAAAAAAAAATATGACACTTTGTTATAGCAACCCCAATGCCTAAGAAATTGTTCCACATACCATACAAGCAAGCACTCAAAGATTTTATTCCGACAGGGATAAAAGATTTATGCTAATCCAACAAAACTTCTGAATTGATTTTCTCCTATAACAAACAGATGACATTTTTAAAGCCTCCATAGGACTTTTCAGTAGAATGTGATTATAGCATTGAGTAATGTTGAGAAATGTGGACCCAGTGGCAGTACCAAATATCCTATGATCCATTAAATAAACATTGGATGACACACAAAATAAAGTCAACCACAAAATGTTTGTTTAACAGAGTCCTCCCCTCCCTCTGTTACACAATAGGAATATTCTCACAAGACTTTTTTTTTTTTTTGCTTTTTCTTTTTTTAAGTTGCAAAGTAAAACAGCAAAGCAAGTCAAAACCCATTTGGATTGGTAATAAGACCGACCCTCGGCTTCATCAGGTAAAGTACTGAACAGTGTACAAATTGCTTCATGAAGAACAACCCAGGTGCCAGGAGAGTGTTCTGACACCTCTGTAAAAACACAAAAATCTACCTGCTAACTTGAGCACACTCTTGAGTAGTAAATGGCTTTGCTCTCAGCTGTCCATATCTTCTTTTTTTCCTATATTTTGTTATGAGAAAAGGGAGAGAAAGAAAAAAAATCTACTAATAAGGGCAGCCCAGTTCTTTACACTTGCATAGCGTGGAACAATGCCATGGCTCCAGAGCCCCATGGGTCCTGTTTGAGGGTAATCAAGTACAGTTGGTCCTCTAAATCCACAGGTTCCACATCTGTGAATTCAACCAACCACAGATTGAAAATGTTTGGAAAAAGCTGCATTTGTACCGAACAGGTATAGGCTTTTTTTCTTGTCATTATTTACTAAACAGTACTGTATAACAAGGGTTTCTATTGTATCCAGTATTAAAATTAATCTAGAAATGATTCAAAGTACATGGGAACTACATCATTTTATACAAGACAGGTGAGCACTGTGGATTTTAGAATCCCAGGAGTTCCTGAAATCAGTAGATACTGAGTGATGACGAATAAGAAAGAGAAATGATTTTTTGTGTAAAACAGTAATATCAACAAATCAAATTTCAAAACAATGCATGATCTGTATAATCTTAACATGTCACAACTCATCTTACTTGGACTAAAACTACCTTAACAGCATTTTAATCTTATTTCTTACCACTGACAGCAATTTTGGTATATGAGTGTGTATGTGTTGGGGGAGAGGGGTAAAAGGAAACCCTGTGAATACTCCCCACAAACAGTAACTAGGAGAAAAAGATCTCTGGATAGTGCTGTGGAAATCTACTGCACAAGTCAATTCTCTTCTAGGCTTTCAAACCCAGATAGCATATGATATTTGAACATTCTAGACTTTATCACATGGCCAGGTCACCTTATCACAAATGGCAAGGTCATCCCTGCTTCCAAATAAGACTTTGCTCAGAAAACAGAGGGCTGAACAACAGTTCAAAAGAACACTTTACGCAAACCTTAGTCCTGACTGCAAGCCACCACAAACTTTTCTTGTCACTCCTCTACAAAGAGATAAATGTAAGAATCTTTTAGACCTGTTTGACAGAACACTTTTATGTCTGCTAGATCCAATAATAAAGAAAATGACCTTGGGTTTGTAACACCTTTTACATTTCATTTTATGAATTCTCTTTTTTAATTAATTTAACAAACAAGCAGTCCTTGACAGATGCAAATTAAAAGAAAAAATTGAAAAATACTAGTCCTTCCTTACAGCTAGCTTGAGGAACACTGCAATAGAAAATCCCCAGAACAGGCAAACAGAAGCAGCTCAAAGACATTTGCTGGTGGAAATTATTTACTATGGCTCAAGGTTACTTTTACCATGTTCAGAAGGTAACTGATAATGCACACAGAGATAGCCTGACTCAGAGGAAAACCAAACAGACACAGAAACTGAAAAAGAACCAATACTTAATCAGTTCTTTGAAAATTCTGTAACCTATACAGTCCACTACTATACCCCACATTGACAGCACTTGCAACAGTTGAGAATCACTGAGAAAGAACATTTTCAGTTTACCTTTTTGCCATTAGATTTCTATGGTAGGCAGTTGATTATAGTCTCAATGGCTACCGGATAACAATTCAAAGCAGAATTCCCTGGATACCTTGGTTCCTCAAAAGTATCCACATAACAACTTCCATTTATTAAGCACCCAATATTCTGGAACATTGGTAGGTATTTGATTATTATGTTTCAAAGAGGTGAAATATTTGTTCAGGGTCTCAAAATGAGTAACAGATGGAGCCTGAATACAAGGGAAAAAAAATGAGATGTGGGAAATAAAGTAATCTTATACACAATTTTCATTAAAAACTGTTAAAATTAGGGGAAAAAAAGATCTTTGGGGGAATCACAATTCGATCCACAACAGTATCATTTTTTAAAACTAATTTAAAAACATAAATTCTTCTTAAGTGAGCCTTTTTGACCCAAGATAGACCATACTCAGATTCTCATACACAGATAAATTTTGATGACTTTGATAATGAGATCTTGACTTTTGAGCTGATGAGCTTTAATGATAGTTTGGAATATGAGTTGGTGTTGTAAATGGGCTGAGACTTTAGGGGATACTGGGATGGATTGAATATGTTTTGCATATGTGCCTCTTTAGGGATCAGAGGAAAGACTATGTTGGGCAGAATGTATGATTAAGTTAAGGATCTGGGAAAATTATCCTGAATTATCTATATAGGCCCAATGTAATCACAAGGATCCTATGAGAAAGGCAGGAGTATCAGAATAAGGAAGAAAGATTTGAATTCAGGTGAACTGTGGGAACTGGAAGAGACAAGGAAATGTTTTTTTATTCTCCCCTAGATCCGCCAAAGAAATGCAGCCTCAGCACTCTGAATTTAAACTAGGAAGACCTATTTTGCATCTAACATCCAGAATGGTTAGATTAAAAAAAAATCTGTATTATCACCCCCTTCCTATCATTTTCTTTAACTAATTTCACCTACTCATTAAAAACCTTTGGATTCTTCTAAAGTGTTCCATTTTTTGAAAACCCTATATAACATAGTCTGCACGGCTAGTAGCACTTTTATTTAGAAGACTTGACCATCTTATATTTATTTTAATTATTTCAAAAAGGACTAATTTTTGTCCTTTTTGCAGAGAATGGGGGAAGCAAAAAAAAAAAAAAGAAGACTGAAGGCACATTTATTTTCATGTCTGTTTTTTGATACACAGACTGTTTATATATGTTGTCTTTGACAATAATTTGGAAAGTAAGTTTACTTAAATCTATTATTAAATCTATCACTAGTAAACAGAGACTTCTGAAATGTAGCTAATTGTTGAATAAAAACATATCCAATGAAATATTAATGACTTGCTGTAAATGAACTGGATTTCCAAGTGCCCCTCAAGTCTAAGTCAGAAATCAGCCAAGCACCATGGTTCAAGAGCAGGAGACTAAGGTAGGAGGACTGCAAGTTCAAAGCCAGCCTCAGCAACTTAGCCAGGGCCTAAGCAACTCAATGAGACACTGTCTCTAAATAAAAAATAAAATGGGCTGGGGATGGGATATGGCTCCGTGGTTGAGTGCCCCTGTGTTTACTCCCTGGGACCAAAAAAAAAGCTACCACTACCATCTACCTATAATGTTAGTTCTTCCAAAGGAAACAAGTATTGACATATTGAAGAAGAATTTATCAAAGTTTTATTTTAAATACATAATTTTTTTATTTTATAAAAAACTCACTTTTGGGGGGTTGTTTGTTGCTATTGTTTTTGGTATTGGAAATTGAACCCAGGAGCATTTTACCTCTAAGCTACATCCCAGACCTTTTTATTTCTTATTGAGACAGGATCTCACTAAGCAGCTGAAGATCCTGCAAAGTTGCTGAGACTGACCTTGAACTTGCACTCCTTCTGCCTCAGCCTCCCAAATCACTGGGATTACAAGTGTGCGCCACCTCACCCAGCTAGAAATGCACATTTAAACAAGGCAATGTAAAGTGCCTGTAAGAAGTAAAAAGAAAAGAAAATGACCCACATAAACACATTACTTAGATATAACCACTGTTGAACCTCAGATATTAAATTTCATACCAGAAATGGTGAAGCTTGAATTAACCTAACATTTCCATAGATGACTAAATATTTTTTAAAATTTTATATTCAATGGAGGAAAAAGATAATGTAATGAAGGAGTGAAAACTCTGAAAGAACAGACCCATGTTGAATGAGGTCCACCGTAAACAACATCACTCAAAGCAAAAAGTTACAATGTGCCTTGAGGTTTCAGAGTATGAAGTGGCTGGAAATCAAGGAGAAAAATCTAAACCAAGAGGGGAACAACCAAAAAATTTGCATATGAACACCACTCATAAAAAATCTTGGCCAACCCTGGAGGAGTGCATCTGCAGGTAAGATTACAAAGAACTCAGAGGAAGGAATTTGCCTGGAGGCCAAGCTACGAGCTATCCATCCCCAGGGAGACAGATTTCAGGGTTTGAGTTGCTATAACAAAATACCATAAATTGGATGACTTACAAACAAGGGAAAGCTCTGACCTAGTTTTAGAGGCTGGGAAGTCCAAGATCAAGGCACTAGCAGATTCAGTATCTGGTGAGGGCCTGTTTTCTGATTCTCAGGTGGCCACCTTCTTGCTTTGCTCTCAGGAAGCCCTCATCTTCTAATATTATCACTTAGAGGGGCAACATTTCTTTTCTTTTAATTATTATTTATTTATTTTTAGCAAGCAAGAAGTAGGTTTATTGAAAAGAGACAGAGATACAGAGACAGACTTCTCTGAAGAGAAGGGTCCCCAGAACTAGGAATCCAGTGGGGCAATTCTGGCCTTTTCTTTTTGTGGTCTCTGGAATTTCCTCCCTTCCTTATCTCCTCCTCTGTCCATGTATTGCTCACTCTTAACGATGGGTGCCCCCTGTGTCCACATGTCTGTTTTTTCTGTTAGATCCTCTGCTTAGGAGCATGACTATGGAAGTGTCTGTCTGACTGGGTCCCCCACTTGTGTGAGGGGCAAGATTTCAACATGAGATTTAGAGGGACCTAAACATTCAGATCATGGCCCCATCAAAGAAGGCAGTCATTGTCAGTATCTCAAGTTTCCACAGACTCCCTTTGATAAAGGATAAAACTAAGCTTTCACAAGTTCAAGATAATCAGACAGAAATGTGTCTGTATGCCAAAACAAAATTCAATACTTCATAGGAAGACAATGATCCAGAATCTAGAAGGATCATGCTTACAGGCCGATATACTAGCCTTATCAAACATTGGTGAGGATGTGAAGCAACTGAAAAGCTCATATATGACTGATAGAAATGTTTAAAAAAATAAGGTGAAATTACTTTAAGAAAGTAGCAATTTCCCAAAGTGAATGTAGGTGGAAAAGCCTTTACCTTAAGACACATTAATCTTTTTCTAGGTGCTAAATGTACATATCACACACACAATTTTAAAATATTGATGTGATTTTAAAATGCCTATAGGGCTGGGGATGTGGCTCAAGCAGTAGCGCGCTCGCCTGGCATGGGTGCGGCCCGGGTTCGATCCTCAGCAACACATACAAACAAAGATGTTGTGTCTGCCGAAATCTAAAAAAAATAAATATTAAAAAAAAATCCTCTCCCTCTCTCTCTCTCTCACTCTCTCTTTAAAAAAAATATTAAAATGCCTATAAGCATAAAAAAGAAAAGAAAAATAATCCACAAAAACACATTACCTACATATAACCACCGTTGAATGTCTGATATAGAATTTGTATACCAGAAATGGTGAGGTTTGGATTCATCTAACATTTCCACAGATAACCAAATATGAAAAAATATATGTATACTCAGTGAAGAACAAACAAAAGAAAACAAAGGATGGAAGGATGAAAATTCTTAAAGAACTGTCCCATGCTGAATGACAAAATTACATATATAATTTCCCCATCTCAGGAAATGACATCACCATTCACCCACCTGAAAAAATAAAACTTTTAAGCTTCATTGTTGATTCCTCTCTCTCCCTTACCCACCATTAGCAAATCCTGTTGACTCTACTGTCAAAACTACATCCTGATTCTAGCCACTTCCCATCAGCCCCATAGTGACAACCCGATGATGTCTCCCCAGAAAAGTACTACAGTGGCTTCTGTGGTTGACAGTGTTAACAGTCATTTTCTCAACAGGGGAAAAGAATGGCACAAAAGAAAATCAAAGTGGCTAGGCATGGTGGTTTGTGACTGTGGTCCCAGCAACTAGGAAGGCATAAGTGGGAGGGTCACTTAAACCCAGGAGTCCAGACCAAGCTGGGCAACAGGGTGAGACCCTGTCTCAGGAAGAAAGGGAGCGAGTGAAGATGGAGGGAAGGATGGAAGGATGGAAGGATGGAAAGGAAAGAAGGATGGAAGGGGGGGGAAGGGAACTCAGAATGCTCAGCAAGAAGAGTCAGAATCAATGATAGGTAGACAACAAATACCTTCTGAGCTGGTTTTCACCTTTTGTTTTTCATTTTACTAATTTTATATAACATTGAAACTTTTACATCAGAACATCCAACGTTCCTATAATATGCTATCTATATTACATACTTTTTACACATAGTTGTTTGAATAATAAAAATGGAATGAGAATAAAAATGTATATATAAAATCTCTTTAAAGTAAGTAGATGAGCTGGGTACTGTGGCCCATGCCTATAATCCCAGCAGCTCAGGAGGCTGAGGCAGGAGTATTGCAAGTTCAAAGCTAGCCTCAGCAACTTAGTGAGGGCCTAGGCAACTCAGTGAGACCCTGTCTCCAAGTAAAATATTTTTAAAAGGCTGGGGATGTTACTCAGTGGTTAAGCGCCACTGGGTTCAGTCCTTGGCACCAAATAAATAAAATAAAATAAAGTAATTTAATTATAAGGAAAAACAGTGGTGAATATGTTTTATCATGTTGTGATATAAAAGTGCTTTCTAAACAAGAAGGTATATCTAGAAATTCTCAAATGAATATGAATTATAATAGTAAAAATAACTGTAGTAGGTACGAAAGTATGTGAAAAATCATTAATGATCAGATGAAGAACACAAGAGAAAAACAAGTTATAGAAGAACAAAGAACTTATCCTTTAAAGATATCCAAGCTTCCTTTTTTGAGGAAGTAAGCAAGGGGAAATTGGGATAAAAGATAAATTTTATCTTCTGTAGTATGAGACTGATAAAATTAGAATGATTAAAATTATTAGTTATAGCATGTAGGGAAGTTTACATTTATATAGATGATTAGAAGTAACATAAACTGGGACTTAGGGAAATTTGACAACATCTATTAAAATATAAAGCTCATATACATTTTGATAACAACTCCACAGTCCTACATAAATATTTTCACATGAGCCCAAAGATATTCATTATTGTGTGTGTGTGTGTGTGTGTGTGTGTGTGTGTGACTGATCTCTCTACAATCATTACAAATAATGATTTTTATAAACTGACATAGAAAGGTGTGTAAAATGTATCATAAAGTAGAAAAAGTTGCAACAGAGTACATTCTACTTTTGTTGTTAACACATATTCAGTCATATTAGTATAAGCATAAAAATATTGGTAAGAATATATAAGGGACTCTCAATCATGGTTTCCCCTCTTAGTAGTGACTTCAGACATTTTCCGAGAGCATTAAACTTCCAAACACCAGAAACAGCAGCACTAAAGAACAGGACTATCTAGGTACTGGGTCAAATGGAGCTAACGTATATTCTGAAATGCAGTGTATCAAACTTTTTAAATAGAGTCTCTCTGGTATGAAGAAGTTGGCAGCTGGTGACATGAATACCTCAGCAAAATAATTTTTAGCCATGCAGAGTAAGAGGAATCTATTTTCAGAATGCTGGAAAGAAAGTTTACCTGCCCTTTTGCCTTCCCAACTACTCCCCCAAGTTTCACATTCTTACCCCAGTGACCATCAATGATCCAGAACGCCCTAGTCAGCTTGTCTGTTCCTGCCCTGCATGTAAAGTGGGAGTGGAACAAATAGCCTTCTTGTCTACCACCTTCTCTTTTAATAAAAAGATAGCTAGAATTATATCTTCACTGGCTTTGGTTTATACTGCAAATAGAGAAAGTGGAACCTCCACTGAATCACATAACACTGAAGTTAAAGTGTCCTACTCATCTTTTGCTCTAAAGCAAGAGCACAGCCACTGGAAAAGAGGCCTCTCACTGGGAGAAGGTATTGCACATTCCAGAAATATCCAGAAAATTCGAATGGCAGGAAAAGCAAGTACTCTTATCTGGAGTATTCACCTGCAGCCATTCTAGAAATGTCAATGGATAATTATACCCTGTACAATAGTGCCATTTTTCCAAAAACCACTGAGAACAAACTATCACATGTACATATACTTGTATACATTGATACATATATCTGTAAATATGTATGTTAAAAATATCAATTGCATCCCCCCAAAACTTACCTGCTTGGTTTTTAAAAGTCACAAAAACTAGGATTGGGGTTGCAGCTTCATGGTAGAGGGCTTGCCTAGCATGTGCAAGGCCCTGAGTTGGATTCCCTGAACCACATTAAAAATAAAAATAAAAAATAAAAAAGCACGAAAACTGTACTAGTATGGAGGGACGGGGAGACAGAGGAAAAAAGAAGATAAATTCCAGGTGAATGATTTTTTTCTACTTCCCTGTTTCAAATCAGTTAAAGAAATGACACACTTCTAGGCTGTGGTATTTTCTTGTCCTAATAAAAATAAAGCAATGGTATATTCACACTATTAACGCAACTACTCCTCAAAAAATTCCCATCAGTTAAGTGCTACTATTCCATTTTTGCAGACAAGGTACATTCAGGTAAACCGAGGCACAGATACCCAGATTTCATTGTCCCTCCCACCCACCAACATTTCCTTGAAACATTAATTTCAAGTGAATGAAATGCAATAAATAAATAAACAAACAAACAAATAAATCCCTTCCAGAAACGCTCTATGAATTCTAGGCCATAAAGCAGCAATTCAGAAACGTGGCACAAAAATGTGCCTGTGCGAAAGCCACTCGCGATGCACAACGCACACTGCAAACATTGGGATTATTACAACCTAAGCTGGAGCAGCAAATTGAATTCGGTCCCAGAGCTTCAACCCGTATGCCTATGTACGAGAAAGAGAGGGAAGACGCCTTTGTTATTACACACGCTCCCAAAGAACGCCAGTGGCCGGGAGCAAGTTCTGTCTACTCTGGAAATCATGGAGGGGGCTCCCTTCTCCATCGGGGTCGCGCGCGGGCCGCGGGGCCCAAGGCGCATGCGTGTCCCCAAAGGCCCGGGCGCTTACCTGATGCGCCTGGAGCGCAGGCACAGGGCAAAGAGTAACAGAGCTACCGCCACCGCCAGGCCTGGGAGGCTGAGCGGCTCCACCGAGAAGTAGCCCATTCTGGAGGACAGGTCTCTCGCCTTCCAGTGAGCGCGGGGCCGCGATGGGCAGCCCAGGGGGACCAGCGCAGGCGGTGACTCTGCACACTGCGACCGCTTTTCTGAGCGGCGCCCCCAGGTCCAGGAAGGAGAAGCTGGCCTGCCCGCGGCGCCTACAGGAATGTCACCGCGGGTCTCGGAGGCTGAATTACAAAGTTAGTGGACTCCCCTCCCCCCGCCCACCCCTCAACCACGTGCACCGCCCCGCTGTGTCACCCCCTCCCGCCCGGCCTCTTCTGGAAAACTGCGTCTGTGCTCCTAGGGGCAGGAAGAAGGGCCAACCGAGCGGGGGTAAGGAATTAGGAAGGCCTGGAGGAGGGGGATTTCTCCTCTGAGTTGGAAGTCGTACCCAGCGGGAGGAGCGATTGTCCCTGCTCCTGTGAGGGTTGGAAAGTTGGCCTCTGCGCTTTGACGCAGGCGAAGTCTTTGGAGACCCCCTGGGAGCTGGGCCAGCCGCGGGTACCTGAGGAGTGCCCCAGGTGGTTTCCTGTTCACCTCCTTCTAACACCCTCTTTACTCACACGTTTTTGTTGAGGGCCTACTGTATCCAAAGGCCCCTGCCAGGGCTGTGCTCTGTCAGAAATCCTGATTAAGCACAGGATCCTTATAGAGCTAGCTTGTAAGAGGAGTGATGGCGAACAGCACAGTTGAGAGCCATAAGCCCCACAGGTTGTACTAACAAAGAATAAGGAGGAAATTTGGAAAATATCTATTCCCGAGTAATGATCATCCACCAGATATTTTGCACACATAAACTTTCCTTCACAAATTGTGATACAAGTTTTTAAAGTAGTATTTTGTAGAAAATACAGTGAAGCTCAGTCTGTCTATATAACTCATCCTGGTTTCAGTAGATAAATTCTTACCCTTCTAAACTTGGCCTTTTTTTTTTTTCTGGGAATTGAACCCATGGGTGCTTACCAATGAGCCATATCCCTAATCCTTTTGAGGATTTTATTTAGACACAGGGTTTCACCAAGTTGCTTAAGGCCTTGCTAAGTTGCTGAGTCCGGCTTTGAACTTGCGATTCTCCTGCCTCAGCCTCCCGAGCTGCTAGGATTACAATAGTAGGCCGTGGTCCCAGGCCCCCTTGGTCTATTTTGAAATATCTGTGACCTTTGCATCATGCAAGACTTTATCTCCATTCTTCTCAGAATTGTCACACAATAGCTTGAAAACTCATCTCCTGTGATCTTGGACTTTCCTAATCTGACATCCCCTAAAACGCTGACTGGCTTTCACTTTACCCAGAACTCTTTTTGATAAAGTCATAAATCTTCCACCCCTGATGAGATGCTGCCACAATTTATCTCCATGGTACAACTACCCTGACTAGTACAATAGGATACACACTAAAGCTGGAGCCATTGTGTTGCTCAGTGTCAACCATTCATACTTTTGTTTAGGATGTTCCCTCTGCCTGAAAAATGGTCATGTCTCCTAAATACTAAAATTCTACCTACCTCTCAAGGCCCAGTTCAAATCCCACTTGCTTCTAGAAATTGTCCCCAACTCATTTTTGTAATTCATCTTTTCTGCCCATACTTCTGACACTCTTTTGTTACCTTTCTTTCCATCACATGTTCCTACTACACCTACATTATTTCTAAGTCGGTTTTTCCTGCTATAAAGATACAGCTCAAGAACCATCTTAGCTGATATAATTATGTCCCAAATATTTCATCCAATATTATTTGTAGTACATTTGAAATTCAAGCTTATCTCCAGATCCTTATATTTGCTAAATCTAAATCTGGCAGACCTACCTTAATTCCAACACATAGGTTCATAAGGCTGACGGGTATAGCAACGGTAAAATTCTAGCTGACCACCAGTTCTCTTAAGTAATCAGCCACTGTTCTTTCGACATTGGTTGGTTGCTAATGTTCATGTACCTTCAACACACTAATTAGATAAACAGTCAAATCTAAAGGAATCATCATGGGCTGGACCTTAAGATTTTGAGATGTCTTTATAAGAAATGTCTTCAATACCAGAGGATAACTGGCCTAATCTTATCATTTCTCTTCAGAAAGTATTGATTGTGAAACACACTGAGAAAGAAAATAGAAACAAAAGCAGATGTAAAAGCAGAGGGAATAAAGGGAGAAGATGATGCATTAGAGTCTCTCAGGTAATAACCATGAGTGTCAGGATGGTGGGTCTGTACTCCAGAGCCTCACCCCAGCAGTCGAGGTGACCCCCATTTACCAGGTGATTGACATGGTGTTATGGTTTGGATGCATTTTTGTGTTGGATGCTTGGTCTTCAGTGTGGTGGTGGAACCTTTGAGAGGTAGAGCCTAATGGGTCAGGGACAGAGTTGATGAGGTCATTGCAGGCACTGTCCTTAGTTCTCAGGGGGACCCTGGTTCTTTTAAAAGTGACTCAATAAAAGATCAAGCCTCACCCTGAATTCATCTCTGGCTTCCTGTCTTTCCATGTGATTTTTTTTTTCCTTCTCTCATGTGTTCCTGCCATAATGCCATCTACTGTGACATGGTGTAGCCAAGGGGAGTCTTACTAGAAGCTGAATCAGTGGGACCTCATATTGGAATCTCTAAAGCTGTGAGCTACACAAATCTCTTTTCTTTATAAAGTATGTCAAATATCTAATCTCAGGTATTTTGTTATAGATACAAAAAATGAACTAATACAAATAGCTTCTTTCTTTGTTTTCTTTTGTCATGTTCCTCCCCCCGACCCAGTGGTAGAGATTGAACAGATTGAACATAAGGCCTCTTAGGCAACTGCTCTACTACAGAGCCACACTCCCATCCCCCTTTGTTCTCTTTTTAATATAGCATTCAGGCTTGAACTCTAGCCTTACTTCTCTCTAGGGCTTCTTTTTTGATTCTCAAGAGACTGTTTGAGCCAGATATGGTGGTGCACACCTGTAATGCCAGTGACTCAGGAGGCTGAGGCAGGAGGATTGTAAATTCAAGACCAGCCTCAGCAACTTACAAAGGCCCTAGACAATTTTTGAAGATTCCATCTCAAAATAAAAAATAAAAATGCCTGTGGAGGTGGCTGGCTCAGTGGTTAAGCACTCCTGGGTTCAATTTTTAGTACCAAAAAAAAAAAAAAAGAAGAAGAAGAAGAAGAGGAAGAGAGAGAGAGAGAGATTGTTTGAAATTTTACCCTACATTTCAACCTGGTCATCCTAATTCTCCTGCTCAGACTCTGAAAACACTATTACACTGAACTGAAACCCCCTAGTTCACCTACTTAGTCAACAACTTTTGTTAAATGCAAACTGTATCTATGGCACTGCGCTTGGTCTGTTGGACCTGTACAAATGAACACAGTAACACTTCCTTCAAAAAGCTAAGATGCAGAGGATTAAGGGATTAATTTGGATAAAGTAAGAAAAGAAACTAGTTGGCATGAGATTGTGAAGTGATGGTGGGGGAATTTAAGAACAAGCACCCATATGGCTTCAATCTTGTGAGTTCCTGTGAAGCAAATGATGTGCGAGGAAAAGGGGCTTCAGTTGTTGGAAAACATTAGAAAGTATCACTGTGGGGAATGCCAAAGTGGAATTCCACATATTTCTTTCCCAATATCCCTAAATCAGGGTTGAGTGCTGAAACCTGAAAGGGCCTGTCATCTTTGACATAAAATATAGACTGAGTTTTGCATCATATCAAAGCATAATACTTTATAACTAAAAGCAATGACTGCTGCTCTCCTCCCCTGACCATAAGTTCTATCATAACCAGCTCTGATTTTCTAACCCCTTCTGTTAAAATGAAGACCTCCACTACAAGTAGAAAACAAACAAAAAGAAGTGGAAGAAGGAAAAGAAGATGAGCTGCATGTTTTATATACCTTGTTTTTTCTAACACTCAAAATAATCTTTGATATAGATATTGTACGAATTGACTATCCCTTATCTAAAATGCTTGGGACCAGTCATATTTTAGATTTCAGATTTTTCAAATTTTATAATATTTGCATATACATAATGAGATTAATTAGGGAATGAGACCCAAGACTAAACACCAAATCCATTTAGGTTTCATATACATCTTAAACACATAGCCTAACGTAACTTTGTGCAATGTTATTAGTATGCCTGTGTTTTGACTGTGACTTGTCACATGAGATCAGGGGTGGAATTTTCCACTTAAGGCATCATGTCAGAGTCCACATTTTTTTTTTTTTTTTGGTGGTTCTGGGAATTGAACCCAGTCTTGTGCATGCGAGGCAAGCATTCTACCAACTGAGCTATGTCCCCAGCCCAATATTTTTGATTTTCACATTAGGGATACTCAACCTAAATTTTCTTTCACATAAAACCAAGACTCAAAGAGTGGTTACTCAGCTGCTGTTTCTTTTTTTTTTTTTTTTTAATTTTTTATTGTGGGTTGTTAAAACATTATAAATTTCTTGACATATCATATTCCACACTTTGATTCAAGTGGGTTATGAACTCCCACCTTCACCCCATACACAGATTGCAGAATCACATCAGTTACACATCCATTGATTTACATATTGCCATACTAGTGTCTGTTGTGCTCCGCTGCCTTTCCCATCCTCCACCATCCCCCCTCAGCTGCTATTTCTGACATGAAGTGGCCCCTCTTTCATTGTACCATTTTGCTCTCTGTAGAGCTTTCTTTCACTAACCCTGTACTATAACTTTTCAATCATTCTTTAGTTTTTATGGATCCAGCTTTTACTTTGAGTTGTCCATAACTGATGTACCCCATGGGGAGAATTGAGCTTCTCTTTTGGCCTTTGGGTACCTCTGAGGATAGTTTTTCCATTGGAAAGAAATGGTAGGAGGGGCTGAGGCTGTAGCTCAGTGGTGAAGTGCTTGCCTTGTATGTGTGAGGCACTGGGTTCAATCCTCAGCACCACATAGACATCAACAACTAAATAAATATTTGAAAAAAAATAAATAATGATATGAAATTGCCTTCCTTATAGGTTTATAAGATTTAAATTGTGAAGAGTAGATATATAACAATGGAAATGACTGAAGCTTCTCCCTTTTTGTCAGTTCAGCAACTTCTGCTTCATTGGCATAGGGCATAAGTAGAAATGAGTTCAGAAGACAAATTCAACCTACTGAGGTGTTAGCTTATTGATGTATTACTTCTGCCCTTTGTAAAATGTGTCATTTTTTTCTTTCCTGAA